AATGAATGGAGGGTAATGCAGTGAAAGAGGGTCCCCTTGTGTTTTTTGCAGGAGGTAGAACATGAAGAGCACATGAAGAAAGATGGTACAGAAAGAGGAAGGTTAGTCTCATGGTTAAGGCTGTTGAATCATAAGGAAGTAGGGCTGGAAGGGACCTCAACAGGTCATCTAGTCCAACCCCCTGCCTTAGGCAGGATTATCCCTATCCAAGCCATTCTATGCAAATCCATTGTCTAACCTGTTAGCAAAACTACACAAACAGAATGTTGCCCTGGACAAGTGGATTCTGATTCTATTACTCCTTCTGCCATAGGGTTTTGTGTGCAAACTTAGGCCACATTTTTCATCCACTGACTAAGAACTTCGGAACTGGGTCCACAGATAGCAATAACAATCATTTAAAATTATGGTCAAACACAAATCAACATCAATGGCCCTTGGAGCTGTGACAGTTTGTGGAACATCAAGCAAGAAACCAGGTACATGCCTCAAAGGTGGCAGACATGAGATGATGAATCTATACAAGGTACTAAAAACTGTGTTGCCTTGAGCAGGCCACTTTTACTGGAGTTGCCAAAGGCTGGCTTTAGCAATTCTGAATGAACTGCAGTGTACAATAAGAACCAGGGTTTAGTACTTTGATTGAGTGGGAGCAGACTACTTGTAATAAGTTACCAATCCAAACCTAACCTCACAGCTCTTGAGCCTTAACAACTTTTATTTAACTAATTCAATTGCTGACACACAAATAAAAAGAAGTCTCTAAACTCAATAAAATAAATGCACAGAACCTTCTTGTAATGCATCCACACTTACTTATGGCCAGACTCATGAGCAATAGTAAAAGCTAGTCCAAGCCCAGTGTCTTCATTAACAGTGCAGCTGCGATATTTACTACACATTCCACTAATTGGTGCAAATCCTATTGAACAGAAGAATAAAATGTATATTATTACATATTTAGATCACAAGATTTTGGTTTGCTACCATTATAGCTTTAAAAGTCACTTTGGTAAATATTTAATGACTCCTCTAGAATGGTGCAGACAGAAATACAGCTCCCCAGTATAACTCATGGTTTTTCACAGAAAGCACTGTGAGTTAGACCAACTTTCCCAACCCAACAGATGTTCACTGTTGGGTCAGGAGGGTATGGAAATTGAGCTCCAATTTGGAGTCAATCCAGCAAGAGAGGCTGCATGTCTGTAGCTTCGTCCCCTAGCTCTGCACCCCTCTTCCTCTCCCCTCCCCACCAGCCTCTGGTACTGTCTGCACGATGGGAGAGAAAAGAAGGGAAGGGAAGAGAGGGAACTTGGGTTGGTGTTTGCCCAGCCTGTGCTGGAGGGGGGTGGACTGGAGCCCCCCAAGATGTTCCAGTCTATACCGGTAACATGACAGAAGTTCAGAACACAAAACTGGTCTATGCCTATAAGAGAACAGAAGCTCTGCACACACAGATTGGTTTAAAAATGGAGGAACCCAGTCTAAGATTTGCACCGCGCCCCCCCCCCGCTGCAAGGTGGAATGTGCATTCTGTTTTTCTATGAACAACATAAGCTATATGGGCAAAAAGACTCTTACCAGTATAAGCTGCATCTATCTGGGGGGGGGGGGGGGGGTTTGCTTGTATAGATATGTCAATCAGGGATAAAATATTTTCCCACCCAAGCAATGAGCTATGGCATCAAAACTCTGTATTGTAGACCCATGTGTCCCAATACCCACTGGGACAGTTTATCTTCAACAGCATATACTAGCAACCAATTGCATTTCACCCCCATTACTGGATTGGTTGTTCTGTAAGGGCACAACAACACGTTCTCTAACAGATTTCCAGGGAAAAAATATACGAGTCTTTGTTTTCCATGAATATGGGGTTAAAGACAAGTGCAAGTATAAGATCTTGTATATCCTGTGCTTCAGAGACGCATACTTGATTGTGGCCAAGATTAGACATTTTCATAAAACTAGAACATTTCATTGCAACACAATTGTAAAAAAAAAAATACCCCATTGCTTCCCTCAGCACAACGGCATCTGAATCTTTTTGCCAAGCCTGGAAACAGGCTAAGAAATAAGTACTCAAGATTTACTCCTAAGGTGACAAAATAAAGGCACTGGGAAAACTTACAAGCACCCTAAAAATGTTAGAGCATCACAAATACACACACTGCAGTGCTACCTCTTCCCTCCAAAAATCTTTTCCTTGTGAATTTCAACACAGTTAAAATAGTGTTCAAACATGATTATATCAACCTCAAAAGCTTCTACAAGGATGTGTTCCAAGTTCTCAGCTGAGCTATCAAGCCAGGTTCAAGATGTAGTGCATGAATAAAAATACAGATTTAAATACTTGTCCATGACATTGAACTATAAAATGGGTCAGGGCTGACACCCCTGTGATTGTTGATGACTAGACAGCAATGACTTACCTAATGTGTCACATGGCTCATTCTTCCAAGAACATATATCAAGGCCAGTCAGTAAAACAGCATGGTCATGGCGACTTCCATCTTTCCCCACCAGCCCAGACTGCCACTGACAGAAACTACTCAGTGTATGGTCGGCATGGTGACTAATCACAAGCCCTGGCTGCTCAAAGAGATGGAGACATTGTTAAAAACATTTGAAAGACTCCTATACATTAACCTTTTTTTCCTGGTATCAAGAGACTCATACTTAGGTGAAGCAGCAGGACACCGGAAAAGATGATGTAACACAATGCACTGAAACCTCCTGCCTATGTGGTCTTGGGTTTCAGATCTCAAGTTAGAACTAATCTCATTTTTTACCTCATTGGAGCACATCACAAAACATCATGCAGTCAGCAATAATCCAGGACAACCTTTACATTTTGTTCAAGAGATTTTCCCAAACCAGGAAAATAGTGCTAGTGAGTATCAAAACTAAGGGGTAGCAGCAGAAGGGAGCAAAGGCTTAAACAGCATCCGCGCATGACAAACTTGAACTGAACTACTATTGTGAGTATCAACTGACTCACAATTAACTATAGGGGGAAAACTATACAGAAGTACAACTGACTGAAAAAGGGAAAGTTTTTTTGAAAAAACTAAAAGAGTCATTTCACTCTGACAGTTTTGAAAAAGAACAGTTTTTATCAACATTTTTCAACGATAATATCAGTTTTCAGTTTTTCTTCTCCCTTCCTTCCCTATGTTCACCCCTCTGCAATGTTTTTCTCCTTTTCCCCTTCTCCTTTCCACCCTTTAAAAAGTTTTTTGCAAAAAATTCAAAAATACAAGACATTCATGAAGTATTTTGATTCAAGGAAGACACTATCATTGTGTCTATGTTAAATTCTAAAAGGATCTAAAGTAGTATATCATGTAATTCAGGTGTCTACAAAGTTTAACTTTACTGCAAAGTCACGTAAAGCTGATCTAAATACTAAGCATTTTAAATTTAGATAGGGCAGCATACCATGCATGCTTGTACTAGTAATTTCAAGGAAAATTATATTAATTAAAGTTAACACAGGTGTATGATCAAAAGATAGACCCTCTTACTCTTTTCAAGCTGGACGTGTTCCAAATGAGAAAAGTTTTAAAATACGAAATAATTAAGGTGCCACTTAAGAAGTGCTGATTGATCAGCAACTAAATATGAAGTGACATTAAAATAATAATTGTGTGCTCTACTTCAGTCATAATGATTAAGAACCAGAACAGAGAGACCCAGGGGAAAAGAGAAGAGAGGTTAAAGTTCCTGTAAGTACACTATTTACTGCTAAGTATTGAAGAGATTTCTTAGATATTCAGCCTCAAAAGAGAGGTAATACTGAATTAACATGAGCCTTTTAGCACTGGTTTCATTCATTAAAAAAAAAAGTCACTCTTATGCAAGATTTCACAGCATTTTCCAGAAAAACAGAGGGAAACAGAGCCATCAAGCTGAGAATGGAATCTTCTTATTTTCATTCTGGTTTTTAGTTATCTTTAAAAAGTTAAACCATTTTTCCTGGGATAACCTTAAAGCTTAGAGTATCCTGTACTGGGGGCAGGGGTACCCTAAGAGACTGATGCCCCCTCCCCACTCACCCACCCCCGTTTAGGGCAGTCTGCCCTGCTCTCTCCTGCCACACCTTTGATGTCAAATGAATTGATGAAAAAATGCAGGAGGCTTACCATTTGTGGCCCTGGTGTTCTGGGCTAATTACACAGCTCCAAACCACCCCTATGCCATGTCCTATGCCTTGCAGATAGTGTCCAAATCTACTCCTACTTCCCTAGACTCTTACTGGCTGTACTCAGCCTCTGGCCCACACAGGCCTCAGGTCCCTCTAGGTGGACCTTGGCCCCTTGGCCCCTCACTGGACTGCACTCCAACCCATCTCTGGGCCTCACACTCACTCTGACCCCTTACTGGGCCACACACTCACACACTGGGCCTTTCAACCCTTAGGCCTGAGGTCCTTCTTATTGGACCTTGTCTGCAGGCCTTTCCCCTCTACGGCGTGACCTACAAGGCCATGGAGGCTGAGGCTTTACAGCACCCCATCCCCACCTTTCACTGGAGAAGCATAGGTGTGATATTTTCTGGGGGCTGCCCTGCCACAGGCAGTCCCACTACACCATCCAACCCCAGTAGGGTGTAGTTTCAGGTCTTACCCAGGAACAACAGGAACCTCCTCCATCCCCATAGTTCCTACCCTAACCTCCAGGTGTTATAGGAGTGGCAGTGGGGTGGAGGGTGGGGCGGAGCCAGGCAGGCCTTGCTACTGCTACCCCTGGGTCCTTCCACCAGCTCCTCTTGGGTCCTGCTGCTGCTGGTTCCTTGTCAGCTTAGACAGGCAGCCACGGACATATAATAATTAATTTTATAATTTTTTTAGTGGCCCGCAGGCTAGATAGAATGGTCTGGTGGGCTGCGTCTGGCCTGCGGGCTGTATTTTGCCCAGCCCTGATCTAGAAAGTGGTGTTGCCCTCTATGGAGTAGGTGTGCATGAAACTTCAGTCTCTGGTTCGATTCGGAGAAGATTCAGCCCAATTCAGAAGCTGAATCATGGAATCCAAATCAAATCAGGAGACCAAAAAAAACCCTCTAAATCGATTCAGAGCCTCTGGGTATGAAGTGTACTCTGTTCAAGTTTACGGACAATACTAAATTGTGGGATGAAGTGCACACTCCAGAGGGTAAGGAACAATTGCAGGCAGACCTGGACAGGTTAGAAAAGTGGGTAGTACACAATAGGATGCAGTACAACAAGTACAAGTGCATCGTGCTGCACCTAGAGTGCAAAAATATCCAGCACACCTACTGGCTCAGAAGTGACCCTCTCAGCAGCACAGAGGCGGAAAGGGATTTCAGAGTCATTGCGGACTCCAAGATGAACATGAGTGACCAGTGTGATGAAATCATCAGCAAAGCTAACTGCACTTTATCATGCATCAGCAGGGAGGTGATACTTCCCCTCTATGCAGCATTGGTCAGACCGCAGTTGGAGTACTGCATCTTGTTTTGGGCACCATACTTCAAGAAGGATGTTGATAGACTCGAGAGGGTCCAGAGGAGTGCCACTCATATGGTTAGGGGCATACAGGACAAGCCCTATATGGAGAGATTGAGGGACCTAGACCTCTTCAGCCTCTGCAAGAGAAGGCTGAGAGGTGATCTTGTGGCTGCCTACAAATTCATTAGGGGGACACAGCAAGGGATCGGAGATGCTCTGTTCACCAGGGCACCTCTTGGGGTAACAAGGAACAATGGTCACAAACTGACAGAGAACAAATTTAGGCTAGATATCAGGAAAAACCTCTTCATGGTAAGGGTGGCCAAAATTTGGAATGGGCTTCCAAGGGAGGTGGTGCTCTCCCCTACCTTGGGGGTCTTCAAGAGAAGGCTGGATAGACATCTGGCTGGGGTCATCTGACCCCAGCGCTCTTTCCTGTCTACTCGATGATCTGTTGAGGTCTCTTCCGACCCTAACATCTATGAATCTATGAATCAATTAAAAAAAGATTTGGAAAAAGATTTGGAGATTCGGAAGGCAATCTTTCAGGGAAACAGAAATCGAAAAGAGGGAGGAAGAACGGGGTAGGAAAGACTGACATCTGTAGCTGGCCAGTGACTGTGATCTTTCTCTGAGTCCCTTCCAATCACAGTGCTCTGGGGGAGGAATGTATAAACAGCACAAAAGCCTCTTTCTTCAGCCTTTCTGTCCCTTTTGTGAGCTGTTTCTGGCTGAGCACTGAGAAGGCCCCCTGTTACAGGCTACCATCCCTGCTGGTTTCATCCCGTGTGCCTTGAAACACTCACACAAAGTCATAGATCACAAGTTTTGCTTGTCAGCACCTTGAGGTGCAGTTTCCCAGAAATCCCTGCACCTATCTTCTTGAAACGTGATGGGCTTCATGCCTTCAGAGGGGACTACCAACCCTGCTGTTGTTATCCAAATCTACCAAAAAATGACAAAGTTATCGTTCTTTCAGTGATTCCCCATTATAGTCTATGACTGAATCTCCGAATCTCTCCAATCAGTGCCGAATCTTCCACAGCTGATTTGGCTAAATCGATTTGGGACAGTGATCCAAATCTCTGAATCGAATCATTGTCTTCCAAATCGGCCAAATCTGAATTGAATACTTCCCTATTCACACAGGCCTACTATGGAGATACCACAAAGTGTTAAAAAGATATGAATTTGTTCAACATCAACATAGAAAGCTGGGAGGAGTGCACAGAACCCTGTCTACTCCAGAAGGAACATCTGGTACTGGGTACAGTTCAACATGAAGCAACTTTGATTCAGATGGAAGCAAAGTGAGGAAGAAGAAAACAGCATGCTGTATATTTGGACGCCAACTTGGACAACATATGGATCTGTGAAACTTGTAACAAGCAGTGTCATTTCTAATTGGGCTTGTCAGCCGCAAACAGATTCATCAGGCACGTGACTAGACCTCTAATGTGTACACCATGATCCAGAGGTTTGACAGTTAGGTGCCTACTACATACACATACACACACTCCTCACACACACACAGGCTGTTTTCAGATGTGAAAAAAAACAAAAACACCAGAGCTTTAGTTTCAGATCGGCACACCCTCACACCAAGCACAGCACAAGCCCAGAAGAGGCACCACATTAGTTTAATCCAGTTTGCCCAACATCTATATAGATCAGGTGCTTCAGCTGGGCTTTCTGGAGCTTTTATCTAATAGTTGATTGAACCAGTTTTAGATTAAAAAGGGCCAAAAAGGCCTGTTGAAGCACCAGAGCTATACAGATGCTGGGGAATCAGGTCAAACTACCATGCTTCCTCTTCCAGCAAAGCTCTATTTTGTTTTGTTTTTTGTTTTTTTACATTTGTCAGCACCCATAGGGGATAGTATGTGTGTGGGGGGAACGGGGGGGAAGTCTCTCTCTTTTTACATTATTAATATTGTATTGATAATTTTAAGCCATATTTAATAAATATATGTACATACTTTTAATTTTATTTTTAATTTTAATATTTTTTAATTTTTTAATAAAAACCCAGTGCACATAATCTCATCTCCTCTTTTGCTTCTTTACAAATCAAATTGATAGGCAAGTTACCAAGAAGCAAAATATTTATATTAATTATACAGCAACCAAAAAGTTATACCATATAGTCATACCATAAGTGGGGGAGAGAGCGAGAAGCCAAAACTTCCACTATGTTAATAAAAAGGAAACATTAAGATCATATAAAAAGTTTCTGCAGGAGAAAGGAAAAGTTTTGGTCCTACCTGCTCGTCTTCCAGAAGTATCAGACCAACAACTGCAATATTTATATTACCTCCTATTGTTCCATCTTTAAACAATGCAGACACCTAGAAGATAATATTAACAACAAATCAATTGAAGTATTAGTTAAATTTTAATGTCTGCTTTAAGTCAGAATTTTAGCATAGTTTAAATCTATTCCAACTGATATATTTATATAATAATGTTATCACTCTGTAGCGTAACTAGCAGTGGGTGAGTGGAGCAATAGTTCTATGCACTGATTAAGAGGAAGCACAAGGATGACTGTCCCACACTCCTAGGGCACAAAAATTGCTTGTTATACCTCTGTTATCACCATCATATCTACTGATAGATGGTTATAAACATGAATTCTCAAGGGCAAGATAACATTCATTTTAAAGATCAGTTACATTTAAAAAAAATAATCTGTTTAAATTAAGAAAAACGAATTTGGTTCTAATAGATGAAACTGTGGATTAAAATCTATTAACTTTCTTAAACCAACCGTCTCCTCAATTTGCCTAATCAAATGTAGCACAGGTATTAAAACAAACTTCTAACCTCCAAAAAGCAACAGCTGCCCAATAAACAGATGGTCTAACCCTGTATTACAACTCTTATCTTTTATAAGAGAAAAATGTGTTGTGATTCATAAACAGCACTTCAGGTTAATTTTTACTGCTACTTTCTGCCAGATTTAATGGTCTGTTGGGTAAACAACTGTAACAGTACAAAATGAGTAATCAGTAGTTGCTGTTTCATGCCTATTCACTATGTTAGGATTTTTATGGTTCAGAAACAACAAATTGGGAAATGATGTAAGAATGGCAAATACTAAAAATAGCATATTATGAAAGGTTTAATTACCCAGTTGGCCTCAACAAGAAGTGGTATCCTACCATATTGAGTATAGTCAAGACGTAGGTAGTAATGTTTTCATGGCCATGGTTTTGCATCATCTTTTTGTCAACTACCACTAGAGTCTCCACATTCAATTCTTTATTCCTGTGGGCCTTTGGAAGGGACCGCTTGTTTCGTACCGGATACTTATATTCATCTGGTAAAATGTAAATATCTTCTTCTGGAGGTTTAGGCATATCTGTGAAAGGAAACAAAGGAGAGATAGGGAAGACAGAAAGCTTCACACGACAGAAGTAAGCCACAAAAAAAAAAAAAAAAATCAAAGCATTTATTTTTATATACAACCAAGTAATGGGCATGTACTGTCATTTCATCACAGTATCTTGGTCTATGAAATCAAGGGAATAAAAGGCAAAGGAAGAGCGCAGACAATTTTGCAAAGAACTGGAATCAAGTTACATTCTGTATTCGGTCCCCTGCTGAATGCCAAATATTGTAGAAGTATCTTTGTGCAAACTCCTTGGGATTTGTTCTTTAGCATGCTTAAATGTTTGAAGGCAAACAATGTTTTCTTTCTTCCAGTTCTTATGAACAGATGTACTAATTTAACATAACTTTGTATTCATCGCTGATTTGTTATAATGGAACAGCATACTGAATTAGCTGGAAAAAAATCAGAAGCTGCAGAAAACTCAGATTACTCAAATAAATACAGTCATTATATGATTGGAAATTAAATATGGCTTGTTTAAATAACTGCATTATGCCAGTATACACTGGCTACCTGTATGTAGCTCAGATATAAAACACACTGTCCTCTCATGACTGGCAGTAATTAAAATTAAAGAAAGTTTACAACAATGGCTTCTCAATGACCCTTGTCAAATATAGGTGTTCCCTGCCCACTGGATCCTGGTATCAGGAGCATGCAGGAAGCCAATTTATGAGAAATATGCTCCAAGCAGAAGAGTCAATAGTATGACTACATGTAGGAAATCAATAGAGCTACACAATTCTTCCACTGTCTCATAGCCCCTGATTATAACCTATTATTAATGGCTGAGACACTGGGCCATCATGTCCTACAATCAGATTTTTGCATGAGCTTTCACCTTTTCCTCAGCCTTTTAGAACTACCAATTTAATTAGAAGAAATAACATGGAAAAGCTGCAATTTAAGAAAAGGAGAGTGCCAGGTGCAAAAAGACATTAATAAGCTAACAATCTGGCAAGGAAAAATTCCCTATATTATTAAAACATGTCCCTGACTAATCAAAATATTCATAACAATTATTATCACAAAGGTCAAGTTGTCCCCTTCTTGTTACTGGTATTAACAATATATCAGAAGCAAATCCCTTTGCCCAACACACAGCCTTTGGGAATTCCAGGTCCAAAGCTGAATTTTGCAACTCGAATTGTATCCAAATCCTGGATGTAACTGCAGTTTAGCCCTTTGTTATAATAAAGCTGTTACCTGAAATATTTTCTTTGCTTTTGAAAGATGGGTGCTCTTGCATAGAGAACAGCAATGAAAACATGTGGTAGGTTAACAATAACTACAAAAAATGTGAATGTATACAGAAAAAATGTCCTTACATACATTTCTTGCGCCTCCCACAAAAGTGCTGCTTTTCCAGTCGCCCATGAGTGTGATGGCGCTGATTTTCTTGAAAATATGTGTTGTGATTTTCCAGTTCCCTTTGTCTTTCAATCACAGTTACCTCATTATTGTTGGGTACTTGGGTTTCTATAGATCTCTTGTACAACATGTGAGAGCGGTGTCCATCTGGTGCAGAATAGTTATGCTTTTGTGCTATGTGTCGAGGTAGTGGTTTCAAGAAGTAATCTGCTTCTTGGGTTCTTATCAAACCTGACTAGAGAAATAACAAAAAAAAAATATTAATTTCAAGGCACGTGTTTTTATTAACATGTCATTTTTCCCCACACCAGTCATTTTCCCCACACCAGTTTCCAAATAGTGTTCCTTCATTTTACTCCACACAGCTTTTTCAGAGATGCATGAGATGCAACATTAAACAGATGCAGTCTAAAGAAGATCCTATCACTTTCCACTCTCCATCAATAGGAAAAAAAGTATTCCTTACAAAAAGGCAATACAAATTATTTGTATTTCCTTGCCATAATACAATTAAACACAATTACTACAGTGTTATTCAGAACAGAGACAGGGATCATGAGAAAAATGAAGTAAGATTTTAACTTGGAAATATGCGAGCTAATACAAAAATAAGTAAATCTAAAAGATAAGACCATCAAAAGGGAAAAACTTCAGAAACTATAATGCTGCTGAAGTGGCATTGATTATAGACAGACAGTTCAGATCTGAACTTGCAATAGAATAAATCTGCAAATAGGGTCTGTACAACTTTGGGTAGTATATATAAACTCATTTTATGATGAAGGAAGTAACAGTTCTTCTATTTATCTGTTTATAGCCCTGGCTGCTTTGCACCTGAACACAGAGCTTGGGATATGATACTTAAATACGTAGCAAGAGACTAAGAAAAAGAGTTTGATGTACCATGAGAGAAATGATAGAGAACTGCAAGATATGGCTCTAGAAGCAGGATTAAGAGAGTCAGTATGAATAGGTTAGCAAGGAAACAGCTAAGAGTAGAACTGACAACAATGCACAGGGAGAAAGAAAATTCAGTGTTGTATATCGGAATATAACTAAGACTAGTAGAATGGAACTGAGAGGAATACAATGGAGGCTGAGTATCAGGAGAAAGCTGCAGTGTGCTAGATCAAGTCTGTGGACTAGTCAACAATAGGGAAGTGGTGGTAACTTCCTCATCTGAGATTTTAAAAGTAAACTGGACAAAGTCTGAAGAAGTATACTGCTAGGAATAATCTGATCTTGGCAGAAAAAGGTATTAGATGATCTAATTGGTCTTTACCATCTCTGTGATTCTCTGTTTCCTAATGTAGCCCAGGTAACCTGGGGATATACTCCCCTTCTCCAATTGAAGGGGATTGTTAGCTGGCAGGTGTGCTATGGGGTGGGAACTGCACACTGCTTAGTTTCCCTCCATCCCTGTAGAACCAGGCCAGGACAGTCAGGGGACTTAACTATGTACACATTTATTTACATTAACTTATCACAAGGGAAAGGAACAGGGATATGAACATACGTACAGTGTATATATCTATAAGATATCTAACCAGTAACATAAACAATACCCTCTGGGTAAATGACATAAAACCTTATACCAGTGCTCCAGATACAGGTAAGTCACAGGTAAGTATCTGATCTGAAACAGATAAATCCCGAAGATAAACTCAATCCCGAGGGGAAACCCCAATGCCCTTGGGCTTTTGCCAAGCCCTACAAAGAAGCTGGTAACTTTAGGGGGGCCCTCCCCTTTCAGGAGCCCTTAACAAACCAGGGAGAGGGACTCCCCTCCCCTATGGGAATCCTCTTTTCCCTGCAACTCACAGCTCCCAGGCCTGGAGGGTGGCCTTCGTCCTCTGTGCCAGGCTGCTCTCTCACCTGTAGTGGGCTTCGGAGGGGTCGGGGGGTGTCTGCTGGCTCGGTAGCTCAATCACCGTCTGGCTCTCTGGACTCAACCTTTTGCTATGGGTCGGAGGCCTGGGCTGCCTTGTGCAGCACCAGGCTCAGTCTGCTCCCGGACGCTCTGTGCAGCGCCTCCTGCACCAAGCTCCCAGCCTTGTTCTGGGCACTGAGGACCTGAGCCGCCCAAGCGCTCCAAAGGTCCTGCTCCATGCACTGGCCTGTGCACCGTGTCTCTGGCCGCACACCAGAGGCTGCAGACCTGAGCCACCTCAAGCAGCTCCCAGGATCTGGATGCCGTGTGCCATGCTGTACACGGAGAGCCTGACCATTGGAGCCGTCTGCCGTTCCCCGCTGATGGAAGTCTTCAGGGGCACTTCTGAGCTACTGCTTCACCCTGCTGAGCAGCTCTCCTCAGCCCTGCTCTTCTCTCTTCCGGACATGCTCTCCTCATGCAGGGCATGCAGTTCCTTTTATATGCTCCAGGGCTCCGCCCCTGAAGTCTTCCAGACCTGAGTGTTGCAGTCTTTAATCAGGTTCATCGGGGGAGGGGAGGGAGCACTCCTCTCCCCCTCCCCTCAGGAAAGGGGCATGACTGAACTCCTCTTGCTGCCTCCTGATTGGGGGATGAGCTCCACCAATCAAAACAAAAAGATTTCAAGACTGGGACTCAACCCAAGCTCCAAAAGGCAAGCCTGCTACACCAATATAAAGCCATATGCTCCCATACCTCTTGCCTAAAAACCTGTAAAAGCTTGCTATAATAATTTGTACCCTAACAACAAACACAAGCTAAAATCTCTTACTTGTTATATTATTTACTGCCCTACAACACAAAAGTGATCCCACAATGAAAATCCACTAAACACATGCAAATCTGGCAAAGAAGAGGAATTGGCAGAAGGGGAGGGAAGAGGAGTGGGGGGGATGGGTTCCACCTAAAATATATGTGGAAGTCAAAGAACCAGATAGGATGACTGTCCAAAAGTTACCTAGATGATTAATTAAGCTTTATATTTCCAAAACTTTGCACCTGCCAATAGCAATAATACTGGAGTAATAGAAATGGAATTAAATTAAGTGGTATAAAATGCAAGGCCATGAACTGAGGGACTAAGTAAAAACTTCTGTTACAAACTGGGTGCATCTACATGTGAAATTAAGGTGAAGCAATAAACTCTGGAGCTATTTGAACTGGAGTAAACCCAAGACAGCAGCAATTTGAACCAGGGTGGAGCAGGCCCAGCATGGCAGGGGTCACAGGGCATCAGCTCTGGACTCCTGGTGGTAGTGTCAGGCCTTGGAGGGATTGGCTGGGGCACAAGGGTGCTGCACCTGTGGAGTCGTGTAGCTAGGTGGCAGACAGGAGTCTGGCCCCCATCTGGTCACTGTCTACATGTGCATGTCAGCGCAGTTAATTACTCTGCTGTAAGATAGCAGCAGAGTTAATCAGTTTACTGCGCCTGATACCAGTGCATGTGTAGTAAAGCACACATGTAGATGCACGTACTGGGAGCTCCTCAGTTGCAAACAACTGAAGTGGTGCAGATGCTGGGTATACCAGCTGATCAAAGAATATTACAGGATAACTATGAGCTGCCAATAGGATGCAGCTGCTAACAGGCAAATGTGGCCCTAAGATGGATGGAACTAGTTCCACTATTAGTGCCATTTGTACAAGGCACCTATGAAACCTAATCTGGAATACTGTATATGGTTCTGGTCACCTACATTCAAAAGAGATGAGATCAATTTAGAACAGGTGCAAAGAAAAGTCATTAGGATGATCAGGGGATAGAAAGTAGACCATCCTGTGAGAGGAGTCAAAGATCTTAACATGTTTAATCTAGCAAAACAAAGGTTGAAAGGGGATAAATAAATCGGGGGAGCAGCATTCAATTGTAATGATGATGTTGGTGTATCAGAAGATTCCTAACCAGTAGAGCAATGAAGTTCTGGAATAGCTTTCTTCACCTGGTATGGTGTGGGCAGAAAACCTAGCTTTTTTCAAGATGGCATTTAAGAAACTTATGGAAGGGTTGTATGGTATTGTACCTGCCATAGCAGGGGACTGAATTTGAGAGCCCAGAAGGTTTCTTCTAGTCCTACATTTCTTTAATCCAACAGTGTCAGCTGATGGCTAAGTACAAAGGGCCATGTTAAGGGTGGGTACGTTTAATTCAGATTTTAAGCAGCTTAAAAAGTATTTTGCTGACATTCACAACTGTTCAGCTTTTCTTAAAAACAAAATCTATTCAACAGGTGTTTACACCCCCTCTGATATTGGTAGGTCATTTCCTTGGCAGATAGAGGCTGCTCAACCTCCAAGCTGGATCCTTGCACTGAGCTGGCAAAATGAAGTGACCTCACTGTCCACAGAATGGCTGATATTTTTTTAAAGAACAAGTAAAGGTGATAACTTTAATAAAACAGGTAAACATCCTACTGTCTTGTTAGCTCAGCTCATCAGGCAATGACTTGGGATGGTGACTGCTAAGTCAGGCCCTAGACAGTTGCATAATTAGTCTGTACCCAGATGCCTGACATTGTCATATCTTGCTGTTGAGAGGTAAAATGCAATAGGGTCTTGCAAATCAGGCAGGCTGAACCTTTTGAACATTATTCAACACTGAACACCGATTATTTGGGTTGCACACTGGGTGCCAGAATGAGTGTGGTTTTGTTGGGGTTTGTTTTTTTTCAGGGGGGGAGGGAGTTGTCCTCCAGCCATGTTGCAGGCTAGGAATGAACATGATGTCCTGAACATGATCACCCTTCAGTGCATGAGTAGGAAAAGGACACATATAATATCTGTCTGGTTTTCAAACCAGTCAGTCAGTCACCTCTGTGTGAATGTTGGCAGCAATCATTTTCACATGTCAGTTTCCAGTCTTCCTTACTTTTGAAAGGTATCCTAGGAATGCCAACCACAGTCAGCAAGGCTGATAACAGAGAAGACCTGAATTCCTCCGTGCCATGAGGCAACAACTAGACCCTACCATTCCCATCTATTTGTCTTGGGCTGTTCTTTGCTTTTTCTCTTTGTTGTTAAGACCTATATGATTTTCCTTTCAGAGTAGTGATCAGGGGAGGGATGTGGCCAGCCACCCGTTCCTCCCTCTGCCCAACAACAGGAATGTCTGTCATAGCAAATGCTCCAGCTTCATTTCTAACACATCCCCAGATATTTTCATCCATTTTTCTAGATAACTTTAGAGGCAAGAGTGAATCTCAGCATCTGTTATAAATTAATTGAACTAAATACCTAGCACTTTTCTAAGATATTTGCTCTTAGAGGCATGCAAATATGTTATTTAATCTCCAAATGGCCAAACAGGA